AAAAGGCAGTCCAGCAAGAAAAACAACACCACCCCTGCCTCAAAACACCAGGAATTGAAACACGAGGAGCGGGAGTCTCTGCAGTAGACAAAGCATATCTACATCTTCTGCTCTGACTGTAACCTGCACCTGTCACAGCGTTCAAACATCCACAGGAGTTTCAGGGCTGGTATGAACTTATCTCCCCTTAATACCCACGTTACGACTTGCGGCCTTTGGAGCCTTACAGAGCTCACTTGACGCTTTCAGATGTGCAAAGTTTTAGGCTCCTGCTCGTGTGACTGCTGCACATGGCTGGAGCCTCGCACGTGCTGCACCGAGCTTTGCCCACGCACCAGAGACAGAGGCAGCTCTGCCGGGGCTGCACGTGCCCTGGGCGCTTCATTTTCTCTGAATTCCAGAGTATTCCCAACTCTAGCCACCGCTAGGGAAAAGTCTGGCAGTTTTTACGGCTCTCATCACATTGCTGACACTTTTACTCCGGGTCAGAAGTTTACAGCGCAGGTTACGCTGGCAGATGGGACTGAAAAAAAAACCAAAAAACCCCACCAAACAAGTCATTATCTGCACTCAAGTCTTCCAGAAATGTTAGACATGGTAGGTGTACCCACACCACGCCTGGAGCAGCCAGCAGTTGAGCTGGACAACCTGCTACAAGGTGTTTCAGCACCTCAACTGTGGAAGTTGAGCCTGCTAGGAAGCAAAGCAGTTAACACAAAGCATCTTATCCAAGAAAAGTTCACCCTTCCTTTTAAAGAAACACCCAGTTCAAAGGGGTACTAAGAGGTTAAAGTCCTTAAAACATTAAAAAAAAAAAAAAAGAAATCCACATATAGGCAAAAAAAAGCTTTCAAATTTTGAAGTTTGAAAGAATATCGAGTAGAATGCGGTAAGGGGTAAAAAATAGCTACCAAGGCTAGAAACTGAGCACAGAACATCGCCAAGTCACTCGTTATGCCCTCTTATGGGTGCTGCACACAAGAAACGCAGAACTCCAGGCACAGCTGTAGAAAACACGCTCCTGCTCCACTACACGGAATACACGTGACGTGTGCCTGCAGCAGAGATCCCGCCAACACACATTCTGGGGGATCCTTCTGTTTCTCAGCATTTCAAACCCATGTTTCTTTGTTTTCAAACACTGTTAGACCCTTAACACAGTCAAGTCTTCAGATGAAACTTGTATTTTGTTTTTTTATTTTGGGGGTGGGGAGCGGGTCAGCATAGATCTTGTAATCCTCCTTACGATTAAAGTGAGGTTAACGCAACCCGGGTAGAAACAAAAGAAATATACTGGAGGAAATGGAGATTATTGCAATGGGGGAAGTAACAATTTGGCAGTACGTGAAGTTAGATGAAAGAAGAATATGGAAGAACGAGAAAAGAATTAAAAGAACACATGAGAAAACCCACATAAATAAGAAACAAAACGAAATTGCCTGCGCAAGCATTCACTGCGAAGTTAAAAGTCAAGATGCAAGGATGAGGCATCACTGACAGAATTTAACCATCTATCCAGAAAAAAAAAAATAAAAAAAAAATCTCTCCATTCTTTTAAACTGCTCAATACACACACACTTTAGGGAACTGAAACCTCACGACAGTGTTTGAAATAAATCCTGAATATAATCATGTAACTCCCCTGAGCTCCCACCTCCTCCTTTTAAACACAACAGGTTGATTATTTACAAGGGATCAGCAAAGAGATGCTGTTCTCGGCAACACCCGATGGCTGCGATTTCTTCCTGACCAAACACAGCAAAAATTCACCTAATGGCATTTATACACTCGATGTGTGTATAAATCTTGCCTGCATAAAGATAAGAGTCAACTTGATCTCTCTAGCCAGAGATCCACAGGTTTTTTCCAAGCTGTGCAGTGATCGGTTAAATCTTAACTGACATATGTTTTGGGGAAGGAAAAAAAAACCCCCACATGCTTTAAAAGGATATTTTAACCTGCAGAAGTTTGCACCTCAGGGTGATTACAGTAATTTTAGGAAGCTTCAGTTGCGATTGTTTTGAAGGTAGGGACAAGTAAAATTGAAAGGGGAGTTCTTGCAGCGAAAAATTTAACTTTTCATACTAAGAACTTGAAAACAAAGAAATGTTTGACACACCTGGACAAGTTCTCTCCACAGCTGAAAACACACGTAGCAGCAACATAAAACATCAAAAGCATTTGTCTCATCACAGCTCTTCTCATTTAAAAACCTGGAAGTTGAGCCTGCGTAAGGGGGATCGCTTTTTTTGCTTTTTTCTGAAGCGAGGCTGCCCACACACAACAAAGCAGAACCTTTTCAAGCACCACTTCTCTGAGGAGCTATTTGCTAAGACGCACAAAAGTCTTACCATTACTTTCTGACCAAGCCTAGACGTTTATGCATGGCAACCTTTTTTTTTCCCCCCACCATGCCAATTTGCATTATCCCAAGCTTCACAGACAATTTCAAAAACCACCATAAAATTTCTCCATTTCCAGCATTTCATTTAACCTCGCTCAGCACAATTAAACGAAGTCTCAATCAGGCTTAATTTCCACTTTGCTCCAACAAGATAAAACGGAGTTTCTGGATACATAATACTTCAACTAATCTAGAATCATATCTAAATATACATTTTTAATGACCAGATTACGATGTAATGCACTGACTGTGCTTCCATACTCTGGTAATTTTTCCCATTAATTGCAGATACTCAGAAACGTATTCAACTAAAAAAAAAAAAAAAAAAAGAAGAAAAAAAAAAAAAGCCTTACCAGCTCAGAGAATCAATAAATCTTAAATTTAAATTTCTGGGAAAAAACAAGGGGTAAGAAAACCATGACCTACTTTTCAACATCAGCTGACATCGTTCAATCTTTTATACAAATGAAATGAGCCAATTCTAACATCTGAAGATGATCCAGGAACAATAACAAAATTCCTTCTGTAACAAGGACAGCTCTCTGCGTAACTCAATTTTCAGAAGCAAACATTACGCTTACAGAAGTGAGAAACCATCACGCTACCAACTGCTGCAAGAGCTTTTTCAAAGCAACAGACAGGGACACTCACGAAGAGTGAGGAAGCAAACAGAACCTGGGTACCAATAGAGTTTGATTTAAAAAAAAAAAAGATGAAAAAATAGGAAAATACTCATTTGGCAATTTCTTTGCTGCGGACATTAATACATTAACAGAAAGCCTGCTGCGAAATACTTTTCACTTTTTAATCACATGCTACAAGCTCCAAATGGGCCGGATGCCAAGTCATTTAAAAGCGCTCAAGTTATATGAATACACACCAGCATTTCATTTAACCTTGCTCAGCTCCGCTAAATGAAGTAACAGTGCTCTCCATCAGGCTTAATTGTTTTAAGAAACGTGAAAAACATCTCCAGCTCTGCTTCAGTACAGCATCCAGCCACTTTTCACTATTTTTAGAGCTCATTCTTTTGGAAAATACATCTATTAGAGCATACTTACAGATTGTATATCTTGTAATGGTTTTTATGCTTTGAATCCAAAAACCTGAAGCAGAAAACGAAAAAAAGAGAGGCACGTATTAATGTACATTGCAATAGCGGCGACCTTCATAAGCAGCATCGCTAAAGCACCATCTAGCTCTGCGCTCCAAGCCCCAGCCGGATCTGCCCAGCGCCTCAAAGGCGAGGAGGCAGCGCGTTGCAAACCTCACTCCCACCAAATAATTCAGCAGTAATTCATAAGACTACTTATGCAGCTGAGGAGCCCAAGATCTGAGCCACAACTGAAATATTTATCGCACGGACCAAGGTGCACCGATTTCTAAGATATCTGCGCGTGAACATTATGAAGCTGAGGAAGGGTTGCTTATTTTTCAAGCAGAAAGCATCGATTACACAAGGTATCGGGAAACATTTACTTCCAATTTCATCATTTTGCCACAGTGGTATTTCCAATGGGAAAAAAAAAAAAGTGGTTAAAAACTTCCCTATCCCAGTTAAAACAGCCAGAATCATTTATTTTAACACTGAGTTTTTAAAATGGCCATTATTTGCTATTCAAGTCCAACGACTTGATGATTCTCTAGGTCCAGAAACGAGGAGGAAGACCACTATACTTTTTCACGCTCATTTCATTTCTACGCTCATTCTGTAACAAAAACTTCCCATAGAAGCCTCGGAGAGAGCCAAACTGTGAACATGATTCATCAAAATTGCCGTGATTATATATGATGTGTCACCTGGCAATGTTCAAGAAGAAATAACATACAAATGTTTACACTTAACATCATCAACAGTGTGTATCTGCACATCAGCCAGAAGGAATTTAATTAGCCATGACAGAACATGCTGTTCAAATTGAAAAGAAACACTAGCTGCTAAAATCCTGGAAAGCTCAAGCGAAAACAAGCTCTGGTTATCAGTCATAATATTCCAGAAGAACCTAGAAGAACTCTGTGGTTCGACTAATGCGTTCAAATGAGAACAGATGTGAACGCTCCTCGTGCAGCACCGAGGACGAGATTCCAATTTCACTGGCAAAAATCCTTCGTGACTCCCACTGGCAGCCCTGCTGGCAGGCTCCGAGAGATGAAGGAACACGGTGGAGACGGTGATTTGTTTCAAGAGATGCCTCCCCGCTCCTTTCAAACGCGCCGGAGAGCGAGGAGAGCTCGCTCCGCTTCTGCCAGGAGGATCCACAAAGCCGAGCGTAGGCTTCAGGCTTTTTCTAAGGAGAAATCTCCGTCCAGAACTTCCCAAAGCGTCGGTCACAGGAGACAGCGGCCAGTCCAGGTCGTACTTCTCGTACGATATTAGCATTACATTTGGCAGGACACCACCCATTCAGAAAAAGCCCACTGACATATCCTGGCTCAATACCAATTGCTCCAGAGCTCAAACACGTTGAATTTCTGCACAAAAAGTTCTTGGGGGAACAAAAAAAAAAAAATCCACAATAAAATCACATCAGGAGCAGATGAGGACCTGCTGACTGCAACGCGCAGAATGCTGCACCATCACGTTTTGTGCATTATTCTCATTTAAAAACGGGGTGACAAACGTAACGCTAGTTTAGCATCCCGTTTCCCACAGCCACTTAATTTACATCTATTTAATTTGCTTGATTACACACCTAGATGACCACTCCTCCTTTAGATCAGCGTTTACGGGCAACTTAATAATTACGTAGTCACTCCCTTTCAAAACTCAATTTACACATACAACATGTGTAAAATAAATTTTCCTGCATACAGAAGCAACCAAAATCAATGCTGTGAATGAAAGAGGGCCTTCAAAGACTCCTGTGTAATATTATTTATTTCGGTTACTTCCACGCCATTTATTCCAAATGCAGCCCTCACCCCTATCCTTCTGGCACCAGAGTCCCTCAGGGACTGGGTACTTGACGTAGCAGGTGCAATGCACACATCAACCGAACGAGAAGGTGGCTCTAGCTACAGGTAAGAAAAATGCAGAGATATTTGGAGTTTCAGGGACAGTCCTTAACTACCCCAAAAGGTTAGCAAAAGCTTTTTCTTGTGTGCAAGCCGCGTGCACTGACGCTCTTAGAAAAACACAACTTCATGCCTCTGTTAACAACTTGAACAGGGAAATCCACGCTACAGGAATATTTACATACTACAGGAATATTTACACCTTGCTGTGCTGCACCTCACTGACACGACCAGCTCTGAAAAAGTGACTTCTCCTCACACGTTGCGTGACAGAAGAAGGTCACTTCTGCAAGCCCGGTCACATCCAGCCTCCGACATTTTCAGTATTATTTGTGAAGAGCGAGCTTCGTCACGACGGTTAAATATGCAAAACCGAAACCCACTCGAAGCTGAGCGCAGCTGAGCAGGGAAGTCGCTGCCTCTAACGCGACTGATTCCTCCCAGGGTGGGAACCGAGCAGCTCACTTATGTCCCAGTCTGGATGTAAAACAATTCACAGGGAAATTCAAGCAGCGCTAATTCTGCCTCCCAACGGTTACAAGAAACTTTGAGGCATCTCAAAGCTGGGAGGAGCATCTTCTTGCCCAGAGAGCCCTATTCCTAATGTCACTGCATAAACACACCTCTCGCCTGCACCGTCCTCCAAACATCAGGTCTCTTGGAGAGACAGTGAATCTCGAATGCCCAAGATCTCAAAGGCATCACACGACTTAAAAAATGAGATAAACAGAATCCTCAAACGAAACCTCTGGCAGCTCTGCCACATACTTCCTTTTTAACGCAACCTATCAACCTGCGGTCTCCGCGTAGGGTCTTGCCTAAACCAATTGCAGCAACGATCCTCAAACACTAAAACACCTTCCACAGTTATATCCCGCAGTTCAGCACAGGACACTTCATCTGATGTTAAAGACGACAACCTGTAGGTCTACGAAGCATCAACCACAATAACAAGTTTTAGCTGATTTTTCTCCTCGTCCACAATTATTGAACAGACAGATGTAAAAAGCCTTTATCTAAGCCACTTACAAGTACTACTTTAAATCAAAATTAGCTTATCAAGCACTTCATTGAAGAAAGGATATAGGCAAACATTCTGAAATGCCATCAACTATCCGAGGAACTCTCAACACCATGAACAGACACCTTTCTAAAAGCAAAGAATCTCCTTTCACTCCTATAAAACTGGCTGGTCAATTTTTCACAGTAAAAAGCAGATTATATGCATTTGAGATCAACTCAGGCCAGCAGCCCGGCCTAAACTTATTGAAAGTATCATTTTTGTTGTTTCCAATATTTTTCAGGGAAGCTAATACAGCAATATCTACAAGATGAAAAAGATCTCGCCGTTTCTGCAAGTGAGAACACACATCCATTCCTTAACAGAACATTAATGACTGCAGAAAAGGATACTTAATATTTACAAGAATAAGAAAAATAAACCCTTACCTTACTACATCGTCAATGTTGTTCCGGTACACTCCTTCAAGCCTCTCCGCAGGAAAACCCATAGCAATTATGTTTGGATAAATATCTGAATATGCAAGTTAGGGAAGCATTTGTAAAGCACGTGGAATTTCTGCAAGAGCATTACATGGGCATTAATCAAACGTTTCACGGTATCAAAGTCAAGAGCAACAACTCTGACCAACTGCCCCACAGGAATAGGTCAGCTTTATAGTTGCAGTTATAAGGGATCCTTTCCCAAAAAAGCTCAGCAAAAAGATAAAATTAAAAAAAAAATCAGGCGGGAAACACTTAAAAACATAGTACTTTGACCACTGTAACAGAAATCTCCTTACATCTCAAAGAGAAAGCTTTTAAGAAGTCTATGCTACTGGGCAGCTGACGGTTAACAACCATTTGGAAGTGAAACTTTGAAAAACAAGAGTCAAATAATCCACTTCTGTCGTACATAACGCCATGGATGCTACCTCCTCGTCTCTCTCTACAGTTTGAGTGGCGTATTAAAACCACAGGGAGACCATCAAACCAGTTTTGTGTGACTAAACTGCAAGATGCTCCAAATTAAAACCCCGTGTTCAAGTCGCTGGTGATCCCAACACCACGCAAAAGAAACGAAAAAGTGCATTTCAGGCACGCAAGCCCTGACAAGGCTACAGAAACATTAATGTTTTTATCATTTTTCACAACTTCTGTGTAACAGACCACGACAGCAGCTGCTAAGGTAGCTGTGAATGCCTAAATGTAGGCATACTGCAATAGATGGGAATGTACAGATCTGAAAAGGATTCTACGTCTTTATTAAAAAACAATTCTGCGCTTCTGGAAATACATTCTAGCTTCTTATTCCGAACTCCCTATAATTCACTTGCCAAAACCAACCCGAGATAAAGAACTTAAGAAAAGCATCTCTTAGCAAAACCCAATCAGCACTAAGGCAAAAGGTCAAACAAGAAAATTTTAAGTTTACATCTAGGGCCAATGTAGTAAAGCATTTACAAGGAAATGCTAGAAAAATACCAGTATTTATTTTCTGGGGGCTGTTATGAAACATGGATTTTTTTTTTTTTTAAACAGAACTCAAGAAAAGAAAGCACTCCCAAGTGTTAAACGTTATTAGAAATGATCATGTAGTGAAGAAGCTTCACTGAAAAGCAGAACAGAAATGAAACCGGCAGCTCAAAAACAGACTGTATCCTACCGCATTAACATACTCCTCCTCAAACTAATTTTAGAAGGAGTAAGAACAAAGCATGGTATGTTTGAAGTCAGCTCTGCTTTAAAGAGGGGTACCTGAAAACGGTGATTTCCAGAGGTCCCTTTCAACCTCAAGTACTCCACAATTTGAAGATTAGTTAAAATATAACAAAGGTCTAAAGAGTCACCCTCAGAAGAGAAGACATTGCAGCGGCTTCCAAGATATGAATATTCCAGCTACGTGTACAGAAAGAAAAGCCTCAAGGAGGACACCAACTACTGCAGAATTCCCACAGGTACTCACAGGGAAGCAGCACAGACCAAGTTCTGCACTTACACAGTTAACTAGAAGACTTAAGAAAAACATTAAGAACTGAATACACGGAAATAACGTTTTCTACTCCTGAGAAGAATTAGCATTTACTATGTTGTAATCTGAGTATTAATAGACATGGGGTTGCTTTGACTATTCAAAGGATGATTTATGCAGCCAATGAGAAAAATATGAAAGTTTTGAGAAATCTATCTGTAGCTGCCTTAAAGGCAGACATCGAAAGGGGCTGATGTCTGGTTTCCAATTAATTCCGCACCTGCCCAAACCCTAAAACAAAAGCCTACCTTGAAAAAAACCAAAAAAAATTAAGTTACTTAGCTTTCAGAGCTTGTAACAACTTCAGATACTATCAAATCACAGTCTTAAAACTTTGAACTTCACTCCCGAAGTATTTTACTCCACAAGCAGCCCACACCTCTGTTACATTAACAAAAGGCACTGCATAATTAGCAATATATTTACTATTTTATCAGTTACTACTTGCCATAAGCAGAAGAAACCTGTTATGGATCATGTGAACCCATGCCTACTAACAGTGAGGGGTAAAATAAATTCATTCCAACACACCACATCAAAACTCAGTTTCAGCTACAGTATCACTCGTGAAATGTCCAAGCTTCACCAAATTACCACGTAACTTGCTCTGATTTCTGCTGGCGACTGTGAGGCTTCGCTACATGTTTTCCCCATGTTTCAGCCTGCAGTTCATGCTCAGATGCTCTTCTTCCACTGTTGGCTTTTCCTAGCCGAGAGGCTAAGAAACAAGATACTTTCCAAGATTTACAGCTGGTGCAAGATGGAAGCAAAGCAGACAGACAATGGAACAGAACGTTTTAACAGCAGCGTTTCCAGCTTGCAGGCTCACGGGCTTGCCCAAACACCAAAGCCTCAAAACAGGCAGGCAGAGAGAGATAAAAAGTTCCAAAATAACCGGGGTAGCCTCGCACTCTTGGAGAGCGCAACCCCCTTCTGGCTCCCGCATTCTGTGAGCCCTCTCCCCACCCTTGCTTCTCAAGCAACCGCTCGCACGCGTTTCTTCTTTTAAATAGGAGCAAGCCAGCAGAATTGAATTCTTAAGGCATGTTTTTAAACCCAGAGTCGGTACTGCAAAAGGCGAGGGGAAGGGTAAGAGCATGAATCAATCTACCGATGTTAATTCAGTGTTGCACGGCTCCAGGGTTCTGCGACCCGACAGCACAAAATCTCAAGCACCGCTGAAAAACAAATATCGACCAGTGAGCCGGGGCAGGGGGCTGGTTTTAGAAAAAACACGATTGCTTTTTATACAGGCAAGCCAGTTTCTCCACCACCTAAATATAAGTGTCCTGAAGTTCCTTACTCATCATCTTGAGGTCTAAGGCTGGAAGGCGATTCACACGCCACGGCTGACTCATTCTTCTGTCTGCACCAGCTTCGGCGTTAAAGGACAGCGACCAGAGCGAGCAAACGAACTCCCCGAGCAGTACGTGGGCTCCACCTGCGCCGAACGAAGGCGAGCAACACCTACACCAAACGCATTAAGATCATCTGGCGATCATGCTGCTTTGAAACCCCCGTTGGTCGAAGCAACTGAAGCCTTTTGCTTTAAGGAGCGACGCAAGACGGGAGAGAAGGGAACGGAAACACTTGCTGTTTACGCAGATGATCTAAATCTCTGAGCAGTTTTGGCACTTCACCGAAAAAGCTGCCGTAAAACCCAAGCTCTTCCACCCTTTCCTCTCCTGCGAAAGGATGCCTCAAGTGGAAAAAAGACGGTTGTTAGTGCGTCGCTACCAGCTGGCTTTTTCCTGACACTGGGGAACAAAGCAGTCCTCCTCGGGGACAGCCGGTGATGACAGCACAGAGCTGAGCCAGTTACGGGAGCAACCATCCACCGAGCATCGTCTTCAGCAAATTCTATCACCAGCCACGCTCAGACACGCTGCTTTTCACCCCTCACTTCATTTCACACTCATTTCCAAAGCTGAAACTAAGATACTCACTACCAAGACGTGATTTCTTACAAAGGAGCTTGGAAGCCGGGCTTACGTTCAAAGCAAGAATTCTGAGTCATCGTGAAATTGGTAACGATACTGATAATTTTAGAAAACTGGAAGCACGGAGGATTTAAAACATGCGACAAGTTCATTATCAATTCCAAGCTGGTTTTGTTTGGTAGGGTTTTTTGGTGTTGGGGTTTTGTTGGTTGGGTTTTTTTAAACAGGCAAACAAAAACAAGAAAATCCTCAGCCATTTGTACAACACATGCAAAACAAAGTTAACCAAACTGTCACAACTAACTCAACTTGAAATGGGCTTCCTAAAAAAATATAAAGTAAACCCTGCCACATTTTGCCAAAGCAGCTTTTTACTAGGAAAATCATTTCCAGAAACGCTTTATAAAGCACTCATTCCTTTCTCAATCATGTAAATATGGAAGCTAGGATGTTAGTTAGCTATCAAAATAAAAAAAAAAGAATTCAGGAAACAGGCTCACCCAACAGCAAAACACTAAAACGCCATCCTCTACTAACTACAAAACTTAAGCTCTCAGATGAATGCAGACAACACTACACTTAGAACAAAAGCACCCAATAATTTGCTTTGTTACCAAACACCCCAACAAAAATAAAAAAAAAAGGGACGGTTCGTCAATGCTGAAGCCATAGCAAAGCAAATAATCCCTAGGCCACTTCGGAAACGCCTTCACTCTGATGGTGTTCATAGATTTAACAAAACACTGTTCTTAAAGGCTGAAATTATTCCCACATGCTAAAGATGATAGTCTTTCCAGTTGCTATGAGAAAAAAAAAAAATCCTGCATCATTATGCAAATCGGCAGTTTCAAAAATAGCTGTCTCTATATCCACGTTACGCCAAGATCACATTAAAGAATATGTAGCATACGCTTCAAATTCTACATACATATAGACACAAAAGCAAATGACTCATGTTGGTCCTGTAACTGATTCTGATCACAAATTCAGCCTTTTTCCTAATCATGGAAGGTGGCCAAAAGAGCATACCAACATATTTATCTATTCTTAAGTTCTTAAATAGCCACAAGAAAGCTGCAAAAATAGGCAGCTACAGCTTTTCCTGCAACGATCAACATTACAGAATCATAGAATTATTGAGGCTGGAAAAGACCTCTGAGATCACCATCAAGTCCAGCCTAGGAGCCATTCTCAATTAATATCTAGAATATGAGTCATTAGAATTTCCAAGTAATTTTACGATGTCCTATTTCAAACAAACTACTTAAACCCTTATCTCCATTCACAAAGGCAGCTACCACAGAAAAACAGAAAGCAAATGACCTAACATTCCTATTTTATAGGCATGCTAGAGCACGCAGTGCTTAAGAACTCACACGTGGCTTTGCTTTTTAAACCTCACGCCGACCATTAAATCAAAACATAAATAAAACACAACTTTAAAACTATTAGCCCTTTACAATCAAAGGCCTCAGGAAGAGCTACCATGCATTAGACGTCATCTTCCTTCAAAAAGGAAATTTAAAACAAGCTGGATGTTTCTGAAGCTGCGAATGA